AAACCCCAAAAGCCCAAAACCCCAAAACCCCAAAACCCCTAAACCCAAAGCCCTCGACCCTAAACCCCTAAGCCCTAAACTACCCGGTTTCATAACTCTGTAAGGGGCTCCAGGGCGCAGGGGGTCTTTGCTCTTGGCCAAGGGCGTAGATTTCGAGTTTCGGGCTCAAGCACTCTAGGCCTTGAGGTTCAGAGTTTTTTTTTTGTTAAAGGGTTTAGGGTTTAGGGTTTAGGGTTTAGGGTTTGGGGTTTAGAGTTTAGGGTTTAGGGTTTAGGGTTTAGGGGTTTAGGATTTAGGCAGTTTATAGTAGTGGCCAATCTTGAGCAGTTCCTTCACGGGATTCTGACCGATGACCCAAAAACAGGTGCCAGGTGCTACATCAGAAGATCCTAGCTACAAGCACCCTGCGACAAGGGTCTTAATTTACTTGTCCAGTACCCAAGGGGAACGACAGGTTAACCTGTCGAATTACATTACATAGGGACTTACCCCAAAAAAGGCTAAGGATGGCCCAAGGTTACCTGATCTACTTCTGGGGGGTGCTCCATGTGTGAAGAAACCCCCCACTCGACGAGTGAGTAATGTAGGGGCCTTAATAATTAGAACAGAGTTTTGGGGCCCATTATACTATAATTATAATAGGGAAACCCCAAAGTAGTGTTGGTAATTATTGAGGATTACTCTTGCACACGACCCAAAGCCACAGGTTCTCAACCCATCGACCCCAATCCCGAAAGTCGTAAGCCCAAAACCGTAGACCGTAGATCGACGCCCCCCGTGGCACCCACCGAGAAAAAGCAAAAGGAACACAACAACGCACATGCACGCACACCCTGAACGATCATCGTATCATTCTCAGCCGAGCGCTCAAGCCGAATCTAGATCTTGAAATTTCACTCTCGGAGTCCATTTGTTCAGCTTCCTTGCTGGTACGTTGGGCAGGCTGCTCTGGGCGCAGCCGCCGGTCTTTCGAGTGATGTCTTGAGACGGAAAGGGTTGCTCCTGTAGGAAGGTTTAGAAGTCTCCTAAACCCCATGAGCCCTAAAGGCCACTTCCCAACCCCTAAACCTGAGACCCCTTGCGCCCCAAATCCTTCGCCCAGACCCCAACAGTGTGTGCAGCATGATCTTCCGATTATCATTTTGGGATTTCAGGGCTGCTCTGGTCCATGAAGCGATACCGGTGCATAAAGACTTTAAAGGGAGCTTAGAGCTTAGGAACAGGCGAAGGGGGTCTAGCGAGTCTCATACCAGGACAGGAATGGTCGAGAATCAAAGAACCGTATCAACCATTAACGCAAGTTCAGGTCCCTAAACCCTAAACCCTAAACCCTAAACCCTAAACCCTAAACCCTATGCGCTGGCTTTCCTGCAGGACCGAGTCCCATTTCATCCCGGACTGTGCAAACTGCGATGCGCTTCTGACATGGCGTCGTTAACATGACTGGTGACAAAACTGCCGAGACCCAGAGTCCTCAGCATCCGCCGGATTTAGGAGTTGAGGGTTTAGGGTTTAGGGTTTAGGGTTTAGGGTTTAGGGTTTAGGGTTTAGGGTTTAGGGTTTAGGGTTAGGGTTTCAGACTATATACCAGATGCTCCAGGGATTTGGGGTTTCAGGCAGGGGGCTTCGCAAGGGTGCGTTGATGCAGACCCTCACCCTAGACAGGCCCTAAACGCTCATCCCCTAAACCCCTAAACCCCTAAACCCCTAAACTCTAAACCTTCAGCTTCGGCTAAATTTTCGAAAGGCAAGCAGGTGTAGGCTACAGCTCACAGTACCATAGGTTTGGCTTTCGGGTTTAGCTCGCGAAGCTGCGGATGAGTTTATGCAACTTGTGTTTAGGGCTTAGGGCTTAGGGGTTTAGGGCTTACGGCAGCCTTGACGACTGAAAGCCCACCCACCACCTTACACTCCTGCACCCGAGCACACCGAACCTGCTCAATGTGAACCTAGCCACGAAGGCTACATCTTAAAGCGTAGACTGTAGAATCCTCAACCCAGACAGTGGGGGGTTCTATGCACTCGTCTTCAACAAAGACCTCTTGAAACTCCCGGAACACGGCTGAGGAAGCCATGTTCAAGATACCTAAGTTTGGGAACCACAGCGATGGGTAACCTACGCAAACCTTCGTTTCCAGTCCTTGGCTTCCAAACCTTATTTTCTACGACTCCTCTTATCTTGCTAATACAGGTGTCTTCGCAACTAGACTAATTAAGGCTCTAAGGTGTGTTAGACTTTATGTATAACTAGGAAGCCCAAAGTAAGATTAGTAATCATTCAGCCAACCTTCTAGACTAGGAAGATGTGCTTCAGCTGAAGACTTGGTCAACTGCACTAGAGGTGAGACATGCGCCAAGAGAGTCTCCCCAGGGGCAGGGCTGAGGATGGGAGCTATGTACTTTCAATTCGGGAAGGGTTCTGTAAGGATTCCTTGAAGGGTTCCTCTGCCCTGAAGGCTTGCTTAAAAGGGGTGTAAAGGTAGTGTAGTATGGCGGGGCTCAAAGTTTGCAATGGGGTTTTCAGGTATGTTCTACAATAGTTCTGAATAAGAACCCTAAGTAATAGTATGCGGCTAAGGGGTGCAAGCCTATACCATGAAGGCCTTCATAAGTAGAGAAGGCATTGGTCGTTTGGTCGTATTTTCAACTAGAATTCTAACAAGAACCCTGTTGGCAATTATCAGGCTTCGATATTTCGGTTACGGTTACTTCGGGCTTGCTGGTTTCAGGGTTGAGGGTCTTGGGTTTGGGTGTGGGGCTCAGGGTGTTGAAGCTGAGAAAGACATCGAGTGTTGCCATGTAGGCCCCAAACCCCAAGCCGTAAACCTAAAACCACAACTTCTTCTCCCTTCTTCTTCGGAAACCCTTGAACCCGAAACCTTAAACCCCAAACCCAAGACCGTAGCTCCAGCTAGAGTCCCCTAAGGGCTGCTGATTATATAAGGTGTTAGGTTAGGGTTTAGGTCTTGAGGTTTTTGGTTTACGAAGCGTGTATAGTGAAGTGTACGATACTGCCTACTATAAAGGCTACGGTTGCTACGAGCCACGAAAAAGGGTACTCTGCTGGTATTTCTGGCTGTTTTGCAGGCTTTAAGGTTTACTACGATACCCAGAACACAGTGTGATTTAGGGTTGGCGTGGGTGGTGTAGACACCACAGCCAGATTCAGATGTTCGTCAAGGTTTTCGGTTGAATAGACGGGTCCTATCAAAAGTTACAAGTTGCTCGAAGGGTTCTCTTAGGAGTTATAACATAAGGTTTCTATTCTGTGAGGGTTACTAGAAGAGTCCGTCCTAGTAAGAGTTGTCATACAGGTTCAAGATACCCCCACCACGCTCCCGCTTCCCCAGGGACCGGTGGCAGAGGAGGAGCAGGGCTAGCCACGCCTCAGTCTTCCTCCTCGTCCTTGTCATCCTTGTGGTTGGGTTTAGGGTATCGGGTTTAGGG